ACTGAGGTACTCAAACATTCATGGGCCTACAGATCAAAGGAGTGAGAAGTGATTCTTCCTAAAGTTAAGTTAATGAAACGCAAGGGAATTTGTTGGTAACCGAAAACCAATAAGAAACCATATATTTTGGTTTCAACTGGTCAATAGCGCATATCCAAACTACCTAGGCAGTAATTCTTCAGTCCAAAGCTTAGTTTGGATTCTACACATCAGGCTGGCTTTCTCTGAAGGTTGAAGTAATTCAAAGCCATTAAAAAAGATGCACCAAAAGAGGCAACACTTCTTGTCAATATAAAACTCAGTAGTTTATTTGAACCCATCATTCGATTAGTAGTTCTTTGGATAACTATTTCAACTCTCAAACGTACTGAAAAAAATGCTGCTACGATTACTACCATTTGAAAATGTTACTAGCTTATTTTCTAAAGTAAAAGCAAACATCTAGGCACAGAAGGTCAATTCTTATTTTTGAACCTCTGGAAAATCTATTTGGTTATGAGCTATAGATGGAAGAGACAGACGAAATATTAGAAATGCATTTGCAGTTCAATCTGCTACGTGAATATTTGGTCAGTACATAAACAAAAAGTGGGGACAAAGATGTTTCGCACCAGAAAGCCAAGTCGAATTTCGCCCTACTAATCAGTTAGACCATGTACTTTCTGTGTTCCATTATTGAGCCTATGAGTTGATTTCTCCAAATTTAGTCTCTTTTGTATTAAAGATGAAAATTCCGAGAGTACTCTCCCTTGTCGATAAGTCGACAGAATAAGGCAAGGCTAGATTGCGATTGGAAAATGCATTTAGTTCTAGGCAAAATGTTGTAGATTAAAAAAATAAACTCCTCAATTGTTTTAATGATTTAAATAGTTTCCCAAAATATAGAACAGAAGTGTTAAATTAATAATGATAGAAACTGAAAATAAACGAATGAATAGCGATAACGTTTTGTAGAATTGAAAGGGGAATTTTGGTGGAGTTTTGTTCTCTGTTCTGTTCTCAGAGAACAAAACTCCACCAAAATCATCCACCTGAGCTACAAATCTTCTCCACCATCTGAAAGGGGAATAAATCATCAAAGTAAATGATGTGTTTCGAATGATTGATTCCTACTTGAGTTAGATGGGAATGGTCTGACCAACAACTGAATTCGAAGTTACACCCCGCAGTCAGCACCTGACGTGGATTGCCTCTTTGTCGTCTTAAGGTACTATACCTGTTTTGAGGACTCTATAACGTAAAGAACGTTATTACTGAAATATTTTGGTAAAGATGGGTACAGGGAAGATGAGACCACAACCGCATGGGCCAGTGCATGGCGTACGATTGACCAATACGCATTGGTTGTCCTTGACTTTGACGGGGATCGATGAACAAGTCGACATTCAGGGACCCAACTGCCGGATGATTTGGCTAGGGCTCAGTGATGTTTCACTGAAGCAACAGAGGCATTGAGACCATGAGTCAATGGTGTTGAGTATGCCTTTTTGGAACACGGAGATGAGATTAAAATATTATAAGTTATTTTTAACTTACTAATGAATCGCGCAGTATTCATGTTATTATTTCAAGTGATCGGTAACAAACAGATAGCAATAATAATGAATATTCGTTTAAATAAACGATCCAACAAACTGCTATTGAAATAATAAGTAGAAGTGGTTTGTAGGAGGAAGGAACAGGAACATAACTGGTTTTTACTCAAATATTATTTGAATGACACCTGAATTCGATCGAACAATAATTTGTATTCGGGTTGTAACAACGTTGGCTTTAGAAGGACCAGTTATAGTATTAAAATGTGTTACCAGAGTGTCGCTATTCTGTTTAACATCAATAATCCAATATAGAATATTTTAGGAACAGTATTGTTACATCCTAAATTTCAAACCATGGGATGATTGAGATATGGGTACTTGATAGATTTACTACCCAAAATCAAACAATGTCAAACTCAAATAAATTCCGCAACTAAACAAGAATATACTAATGACGATCGTAAATATGGTTTCATGCCGCAACTCTAGATACAAGTTCACCTGAAGCCCTCAATATTAGGATTTCATGAAGCCTAGTAAAAAAGAGTTAACCCCAAATCAAGAATGAAGACAAAAGATCAAAGCCAAATGCCCCAACGAACTGGACTTACATGTGTACATGTGGAAACCCGGTTAACCTAGTCTGAAATCTAGGAAGACACATTTTCGAAATACTGCAAGTAAGGCAACCAGGACTTGTAATTTATTAAAATAACCTTCAATCCTGTTGAGCTGGTAATCTAATCTAGACTGAATGGATTTGAATATGAAGTAGGCTGAAATGATTTATCTTCTGTATTAAATGTATGACAATCAATAATGGTCCAAATAGTTAACTTGATAAGATAAACAAACAGGCAGATAGACGAAAACATGTGGAAAGCCTGACGGGTTTGGACTCAGGATTAGTCATCAAAATATGTTCAACAAATCTGGTGGAATTGGATTTAAAAATTAATCTTTCACTCACTTTGTCTGATAAATTCTCCTGTAGCTATTCTAGGGCTACTGCCGGTCCCGTGACCGGGTAAAGAGGAGGGTTGGACATGGGATCGACAACCCCATCCCGTAGAAAACAACCTTGCTAAGAAAACGCTGAACAGAATAAACAGTTTAAAACATTTGAACCCTATCCTACGAGTCGAAGGAAGAATTATGATAGCAACGACGACAACAAAGATCAGTTCTATGAGAGGCTGCAATCAAACACAGAGAAGTACCCAAGAAAGGATCTCACCATCTTGATGAGAGACCTGAATGTCAAAGTTTTAATGGAAAACCCCGGATATGAAGATATCATGGGATGACATGGAGTGGAAAAGAGAAAGGAGAATAAGGGGAGATTCGCGAACCCAGGTGTACTCAACAAATTAGTTATAAGCGGCACAATATTCCCATACAAACGTATGCACAGAGCTATATGAGTCTCTCCGGATCCCACTATACAAGGTGAAGCGGATCACATTTGCACCAGTAGAAAATTCAGAAGGATCATTGAAGATGTGAGAACCAGGAGAAGAGCTGACGTAGCTTCGGATCACCTCCTGGTGGTTGCCAAGATAAAACTGAAGCTAAAAAAGCACTGAAAACCTGGAAAAACAGCATCACAAAGGTTTGATGCAGCCTTCCCTTGAGATACTTACAAACTTGGTGAATTCGAGATAACTCTCAAAAACACGTTCCAAGCTTTACAGGATTTACTGAAAGAAGCTGGGACTACAATGGAGGACAACTGGAAAGGGATCAAAGAAGCATTAACTTCAAAGTGTCAGGAGGTTCTGGGTCGCAACAAGCATCATCATAAGGAATAGATTTAAGTTCAGCCAGTGGTGAGCAAGTATTGTTGTTTTAGGTGATTCTGAAATAGCTGACGTATGTAGCACCAACGGATCCAAGCTGCATTATTGTGTTACCAATTGCAATCCAGAATTACTTGTTCACTAGATGTTAATTCCAATAGTACCCTCTGGAGTTTATTTTGAATACTTTTTTAACTATTAACTACGTGATGGTTTATTCATTGTATCAGTGTAGCACGCTAGTACATAATTTGGGTGACTTTGTTATCTGAACTATGTTCGACGTCCTTTTAGGCAATTGTGATAGCCCAATTGCTAAAGCCAAATACGTATAACAATGACGACCATGACGGGTTTAGTGGAAAAGTTAAAGAAGATTAAAATGATTTGTAGCGTGGCGTCGAGTCGAAATTAACTATGAACACAGCTACCAAGAAGCTCGTTCCAAATGACTCCATAAAATCCCCCGGAAGCCAGATATCAGAAGGCAATTAATGGATCAAATCGAGATATATTTGATGGCGATCTCTTGGTATCGAAAGGATACCGAGATCGTGCCAGGATACAAGCTTGGTTACATAACGTAACCGAATTCGCGCGAAGTTACAATCGAAGTGTAAGTATAAGAATGGAAGCACAATATAGCTGTCATTAGCACAGTTAAACAAAAGCACATTAAAACAAACACTGGTACAATTGGTTATACTAATAATTGTGTTCTCGTGATAAATGTGAGTCACTACAAGCGTTTGACAGTGTGGCTAGGCGAACCACGTGGAACCTTCTTCAACAGTGTGGACTGAGTAACTGAGAAAGTAGTTAACATCATCAAATGGAACTCATACGATGGACTGCAGTGCAACTGGTGCACGCAGGAAAGCTGACAGACTCAGTCCAAGTGAGGACCAAAGTCAGACATCACCGTTTGCGCTCTCCCTTTCTCTTTCTTTTGGTGGTTGGCTGGATTAGGAAGACCTCGACACCTGGAGGATAGCACGGAATAAAATGGACAGTTTGGATGCAGCTCGACGATTCAGACTTTGCTGATGACGTAACTCTTCTATCTCATGCACACGAACAAATGCAGGTCAGGACAATCAGTGTAGCAACAGCTTCTGTCTGCAACAGTAGGCCTCAAAATATACAGGGGAGAAATTAATGTTCTAAAATATACTACACTGAGTACCAACTTAATCACACTTGATGAAGCAACTCTGGGAGAGGTGGAAACTTTCTCGTACCTGATCAGTATCATTGATGAACGAGGAGGATCTGATGCAGACGTAAAGGCGAGGACTGGCAAAGCATTCCTACAACTGAAGAACATATGGAATTAAAAACAACTGTCAACCAATATCAAAGTCAGAATCTTTTATACAGTCTTATTGTACGGAGATTGATAATAGCTCACTAACGTATAATTTATTTTTGTCAAATACTAGACGTTTTTGTAAACGTCGTAGAAGCCATGCAAATAAACCTTGATTTGCCATTGTCACATTCATATCTGGACGAATTTCTAGTAAACTTTCAACAATTCCGAGTGTTTTATGCACACCGTCAGCTCCATCTTTCTTCATTTCATTTAAACGTGAAATATTCTGTATAAGTGATTGTATCAATTGTCCAGAAAACAAAACTTCTAAAAATTGATTAACTTTGTCTAATCCAGCTTCTTGTAAACAACAAGTAATTCATGCAACAGATCAATAACAGATAAACTAATATCTGTATTTTCATGAGCCAATAAACCTAACAATAATGATAAGGGACTTGTTTGTTCTGTTAAGAGTGGGTATAACTCTGGATTGGCTGCAAGCACCTGCATTTCCTCTAGTGTTTCTTGTAGTTCCAATTCTGACTGCATAAAACGCCTAGGTTGGTCAGGGAACTTATTTTGAGCTTCCTGGTTGCTTAGAGCACGTTTTTGAAGAAACACAGTAAGTCGACGGACAGTAGTCTCAGTCACTTCATTTGCTCCAACAGTAGTAGGCCCATTGCTTGTTTCCGAATCCCACGAATCCGGTGCATTGAAAGGACGTGAAAAATCTTCGAGATCACCAACATCGGATGAAGTGTCAGAAAATGCGGATATGTGATCAGCGCTGACCTTAGGCCGTTTTGCATCTGCTTCACGTTGAAAAGATGGTGGACACTTAAAAGTCATATCTAACTCCAATTCATCCAGGACATTGTATGACCATCTTTAATTTACTTAGATGGGCGCCTTCCTCACATTCGACACATGTGTGTACGGTTTATTTCTTTGACCTCCCTGAGAATTCTATATTGTACCAAAATATAATATTGAGTAAAGCCATTAATAGTAATAATAATAATAATAATAATAATAATAATAATAATACTCAAGAAGTACATTATTAAAATACTCTTAGACAGATACAGTCATAAAAACCTAACAATTTTACTTCTCACAGTTGATTGATCACTGGGTGGTGATCAATGTCATGCTTGTCTAGTCCTTATTAGTGCAGATCAAATGCTATCGATCATGTTGCAATGTGGCCACCAGTCTAGGTGACTCGACACTGCAGGCACCATGTATTGAGATTTAGATGGTGGTTGGAGGTAGTCAACAGGAAACCCTGGACCCGGGTTTCGTGCTACTTGGCACTCATCAGCAAGGTGTACCTGTAATCTTGAGGGAACTGGTGCTTCCTGGAGGATTCGATCTCGTGTCACCCAGCTTCATAGTCAGAGACGTTTACTTCTAAAAACTGAGCATCACATAAGGAACGAATAAATATTTGAAAATAATAAATATCTGATAGGTTCAGATTTTTATCGTGAATTCCACAATTTAAAAAGATTATCAATGTATCTAGCTTCAATAAAGAACGAAAGATTTTTGAAATATCTATAAGATTTTATAGAAGATCATACAGTGTACTAACATATTTTTGATTATAAGTTGTTAGTATAGTTGAATTGTGAACTAGAAGTGGTAAAATATTTCATTCTCTTTGGAATCCATTAGTTTGTAGTGTGGCGTCGAGTTGCGGTCGACTGTGATCACCACTACAGTTAACCGATGAGATCCCCCGTAAGCCAAATATCAGAAGGCAGTTGATGACTGTAGTCGAGATGTATTTGTTGGCGATCTCGTGGTATCGAAAGAATACCGAGATCGTGCCAGGTTACAAGCGTGGTTACTGAGAGTAACCGAATTCCTGCAAGGTCACAATCAACGGAAGGATGTATGTGTTTTGGTACAGTTAGACAAACAAGTGCGGTAAAATCATCCCTGGTACAATTGGTTATAATAATAATTGTTACCATTACACCAATCGCGTACTCTTGATAAAAGTAGGTCACTACAAGTTAAACCTACCCGAATGCTTACATTGAGATTCTAATCTAGTACTTAGCACTAAACTATATTATCCGATATTCAAACAGTAGGAATTTTTACAAAAAATTATTGACCATTTAATATATTAGAATGAATTCCAAATATTTGCTTCTTGGGTTTTACTAGTAATTAAGATCCAATTGTACTAAAAGCTTCTATCTAAAATACAAATAAAATAGGCATCATCTGCTCAAGATTCTATAGAAAACTGATCGATCACAGTCATTTGTACCAACAACTATGAGAATTCTGAACTCTTACAGATATTTTCGACTAATTATTATTGAGGCTTAACAGAATTGTTAGGCATTATAATATCAAGTTAACAATGTGCTAGACTTGCTTACTTATTTAAACAAAGTTGAATTTCTAAGCAAAGATGGATTGTAGCTAGCAGTGGAATCCAGTTTGACGTGTGTTTCGTCCTATTTGGAACTCATCCGCTGGATTTGATTGCTTCTCAGAGTTGATGTTCACTCTGGGACCTAAACACAATACCGTTCACTTTAAACGCCATCGCGTTATCCACCTGATAGCCACTTGATTGTGCAATGACGGAAGTTAAATTCACTTGGTATTGTTTACTTAAATCATCCAGTTGATGTTTAGGACTGCTCAGCGGTCTAATGGTTAGGCGCTCGCGTGAGAGACCGATAGATTCTGAGTTCGGATCTCTCGAACAGGAATGGTGAATACACACTGCTGAGGAGTCTCGCAATAGGACAAAACGGCCGTCCAGTGCTTCAAGGTTTTCCATGGCGGTCTAGCTTCAATGAACTCATGATCTCAACTATTAAAATTACTATAATATCCACCACACCCCTTCTGATATATTACAAATCTTTTTTGTGTATATGATCTGTTCAATGAATATATAAATAATGAGTTAACGTGATATTTATAGTCATATGTAGTGTAAATTTTTTACACAGGAAATTCATGAAATGTTGTAAACTATTGATGAGAGAAATGACAATTGTTTTCAAGGTGATCAAGTATTTTAATGAATACTGGGGAAGCCTGTAAAGAGGATGTCTTATAACAATGCGGCTTAGTATTCAGTGGGAATAATCCATGATTATCATATAATGTACATATTCAATATACTGATATGGACATCCTTAGGCGGTTAAGGGATCGTGTGTGATCAAATGAATATGACTCTTCATATCCAACAATTATTTTTGGTAAGTTGCTGGTATATGATTTGATAACACACTAGATCATCCTATACAATAACCTGATTTAGACCTTTGTTATTCTGTTTTTATTCTTCAAATGTAACATGGTGATGTGAGCACGGCTTAGGAATGATAAGGAAATGATAAAACGTAAAAAAAATGAAGTGATTTTGATTCTTAAACTCTAAGGAATCCATAAAATATTATAAACATTGAAAACAGAGGTTTGACAAATCCGTTGTCAAGATTGAGAAGTAATTAAAAAGGGATAACATTGATATACATCTTAGGGAATTTATTTGTCATATTTAATGAACAAGGTAGTACGGTATTGTACAGTTGTGTGCATCCTATAATGGTCGTAACCTGAAATCTTGAAAGAGACCAGTTGTTGGTCAAATAACTCGGTCGTAACTTCCTAGACTGTAATACTGAGTCACCTAGGTTTGAATTCCATTGGGGAGCATCAGATATCTCAAGATTACAGGTATGCCTTTATGACGAATAATGGCTAGCACGAAAGCAAAATTCAAGATTTCCTACCAACTCCTTCAACTACCGAACATAGGAAACTTAATTTGTAATATAAAATTGTTAATTATTTTGAAGAGTGTTTATCCACGTTAACAACGTTAAATGCTAATAAATAACTGTACAAACGCATAAAACTCAATTAACCATACACTAGCTAAATAAAAATGGTATCTGTTTGCCTTTTGCAATCTTACTGAATACAATAATCTACCTCACTAATATTGTGGATAGATGAAAATGGCTAAAAACAACACAATTAATCTGAATACTTCTGAAGACTACTTGAATCGTCCACTTGACTTGGTCTAGTGAGAGTGAAATGTTTCCAGGAAAAAAATATTTTTTTATTTAACGTTTTATTTCGCAAAAATATGAAAATGATTGAGTATTTGTTCATTTAAACTGTATGTAAATGACAAGAAACCAATGTCATAAACATAAATATGTCTCATTATTATTATTAAATGGATGTCAGGATTTATCCCATTGTTTATAATCTTTTATATTTAGTTGTGATATTACCATAATAGATCGAAACAATTATCTACCGGTCATTTATTTAAAATGAAGTTATATTGTGATGTGTGCTACTGATGACGCGTGATATAAGTAGTATGTATCATCAGACGAAAGTAAAATGCCTGGCGGTAGAAGATTAATACAATCGAAGAAGAGAGGACAAGAACAGAGAACGATTGGCGTGGAAATGAAGGAACAATAAAGTTTAAGACGATTGATTGACATTTTGTAAATGAATTATTTATTATGTGGTTCTCAGATTTTACTAAGAAATTCTGTAGATTTGTGTTCAAATACATTCGATTTAGCGGTGGGGCAAAGACTGCAGAAAAGGAGAAATGGCACGGCGAGCAGAACCACCACAAGAATGACTGCTTTAAAGGGGGAACGAGTGTGGTGTGTGTAAGTGATGTCAATCGACATAAGTAGTATGTATCATCGGTCGAAAGTGAATTGCCTGTTGGCAGAAGGTTAAGAAGATCGAAGAAAAGAGAACAATTGTGTGGGAACGAAAGAACAATGAAATCTGAAGCGATTGATTGACATTTTGCAAAATGAACAATCAAGTATTAGACAATCGAACTGGAGTCAGATAAAGGGTACACTTACGATGTTGTTAAGAGAAATATTTAAAATAACATTCTTTAAATTAATTATCTTTGTTAACTATGACATAATTTGATCCTAAAGACATTCAGAAATTGGCTGTATGCAATTAGTAATTTGCTTCTGATTGGTCATTGAGTGGCGTCCAATGTCATGTATGTTAAGACTTACAGGAGGCTATTCGCTGCTCAAGCAGGTCCGTGGTGACATGTACAACTCCAAGTCTGAGTGACATGAGGTACAGTCCTTCAGGGAGCATCAGTTTTCTCAAGACTACAGGTACATCTTAAGTGCTAAAAAAGTAGATCAATTAATGTTTTCTGTTGACTACCTCCAATTACTTTACATCAGATTAAGTAATTGAATCAATAGTGCAGTTGATTAGTTAATAGTTTATACTGAATTAAAAAATATCAATGTAGAACAAATCGACTTGAAAATAAGTATATTGAGATATAGTAATGAAATATCTTTTGTGTAAAAAAAAATCGATATTTACCCCTATTTTTTTTCTTTCAAGTTCTATCAAAATGTAGATACTGGTGTGATATGATCTAAGGGATCTAGCAGTCAGGTTTTAATTCATTAGAGAGTGAGTGATTTGGAAGCTAATCTATTTCTATCGTTTATAAAATTTGATCATTTTTATTTTTCTGCTAATATTTTGTATACTAACGTGTCATTTTATCAAAAGTAGAATCTATTCACCTGGTCAATGATTTAATCTAAAATTATTCAGGAGCTTATGTCAGTTAGCTGATCTTGTAGGTAGGCATCGTTCGACCACATCATATCGTTGCATGTCATCTACAGACTGATATTCCATTCATTCATTTGAACAAGTAAAAGCTTTATTCACTTATTAAAACCTATTTTATGCCATTATGTTTGGTTTCTGAATAGAAAAGATTGTTTTACGATTATTTAGAAGAAGCTCAGTTGAATATTCATTGT